GGAGCTGTCCTTTTCTCTTGTTTGTTAATGTATATTGGGTGAGATGGAGGAGGAGGAGGAGGAGGAGGAGGGGAGAACGTGTTTCGTATCTGCACGCTTCCCTGACTGTACCGTGTCCTCCATAAGTAAGTACCTACCTACCTACATACGTATCGGTACGGTTCGGGCACGCTACGGAACTACTGACTGACTGACCTGCTCTCTGGATCCAGTAGGTACTACTGTAGGTACCGGTATTCCATCTCCCCTTCTACGTACGTACGGATCCATACCCTGATGGCGATCGCCTGGGCTCGCTCGGTCTCTTTACGTACTCCTACCTCCCTAGGACTTTCTTGTTCCCCTACCGGTACGTACGGAGCGTACTCGTACCGTCGAAGCCCTGACAGACTTTTAGAGTTTCTCGGGTTTTTGATTGCTCTTTTGGAATTTGATTCTCGCGCTGGGTGGGGACCGTCAATGCGAGGTGGAGACGTGATTTACTACGTACTAGTAGTAGTAGTATCATGCACTATGCAATATGCAATATGCACGGGACACCCTCCTCTTGTTTTTGTTTTTGTTTTATTTGATTTTATTTTTATTTCCTTCGCCTCGTTTTCCGTGAGGCTTGGACTCGGCTCTTTTCGAAGGAGGGGCTGGGATGGCTGGGCCTTGGGATGGATGGGATCAGGGATGGAGGGCATTGAGTTTTTTTTTTTTTGGTTCTTTTTTAGGGTTTCGATTCAACAAAGACTAAAAAGCGGGTTGCTACTTGGTACGTAGTACTTGGCGAGACTGGATGGGGGCGGGGCGGGAGGGGCGGGAGGGGAAGGTGGAGTGTGGCTGGCGAGGTCGTAACGGATTCTGTACGGGGGTGGGGTTATATGACATGTGCGGAAGTGATACGTATGATAAGTGGTAATATGATGATGTGATGTGGTGTAATCTTTTACTGATTACTGATTACTTATATGTGGGTGTGCTGGCAGTGAGTCTCCTGATTTCCGTGTATCGGATTCATCGGATTCCTGGATGCCGTCTGGGAGGCCGAGGATCCGATCTGGGTCAAGGAAATTCGTGAGGGGAATTCCGAGATGGGGCTCCGGGTATCCATAGGGGTACTCAAATAAGCAGGAGGGGGTAGGTCATGTGATATCTGTGATTGGTAATCAGAGAGCCGCGGGAAGCTTAGAAGAGCTTGAGCTCGGGCCTTGGCTCTTCCAAAGACTAAAGGTTACTTTGACGACACGGCTCTGACACGGCAGGACTACCTATACCAGACCATACCATACCGACCGATACAGGCGTCCTTTCACCTGGACGAAACAGTTCCGGTTGTTCACTCACGTCAATTTCAACCCGGCTCTAATCATCTAACCAACTACGTCTACCTGCTCACATCAGCTCCATCTCAAATCCCTCCGACAGCCCACAGAAATATGGACAGAGCAGCAGCAAGCGCCAGCATGCGCCGCTGCCTCCGCAGCAGCAAGAAGGCCCTACGCTGTGCCTCGAAGACTGCAGCCCCGAGAACGAGATGCGTAGCCACAGCCATCTGCCCAGCTCGCAGCGTCGCCACGTCCACGTCCTCGATCCCGCCCCCCCTGCCCCTCCCGAAAACCCGACGCCTACCGACAACCCTGCACGCCCAGGCACAACCCTCCTCCTCTCTGCTCCGCCGCCGCGGCTACAACTCCTCCTCTCCTCCGCCCTCTCCCGCTCCGCCAACCTCGCAACCAGGCACCGCCGCCTCCGACCCCCCCGGGGCGGAACGGGAAGCCGCCCGGGTCCTGCAACAGGCGCCTACGCATCTCAACGACAAGGAGCGCCAGATCTGGGAGATGCTGATGCGGGAGCTGCAGTGCACGAGTCTCGAGGTGCAGGATATCAGCGGCGGGTGCGGCAGCATGTACGGGATCGATGTTGTGAGTGAGCGGTTTCGCGGGCTGGGCATGCTGAAGCAGCAAAGGTTGGTGAATGAGGTGCTGGGCGAGGAGATTAAGGGGTGGCATGGGGTGCAGCTGAAGACGAGGGCGCCGTAAAGGGGGAGAGAGGAGGGGGGGGGGGGGAGGGAGAGGAAGGATGGTATGGAGATAATTGGTTTGGGTGAGGAGGGGTGGGAGACGTATATGTGTTCGGGGATGCGGGATGGCATGGGTATATCAACTAGGATGTGATGGGAGGGGATGGAATAGATGTATAATGCAAAGAGGATTGTATTATACACCTTGAAGTGGTCAGAGGTACAAGCTATGCCAGCTGTAGCTCGAACGAGTATCGCCAAATTCTTACTCAAGACACTGGCACTAAGAACGCTGCTCGTCCACCAGACAAATACTAGCAGCCTTACCGGAATCGAATCGTCTCTTCAGACCTAACCAAATGTCACCACCAGTTCCCGGGATGCGCCCATCCCACTCTCTAATTCTTTGCAAACATATGGCAACTTCTTCACTTGCATCTTTCAGTCACATGGTCTTGGAACTCTATGCTGTTTTACCTGCTTTTCTCAAGGCGATTTACTTTCTCTTTTTTTTTTCTCTCTCTTTTTCTTTTTTTCCCTCTTTTCCCCTCTTTTTCCCTCTCTTTTTTTTCTGCTCTTTTTTCTCTTCTCTTTTTCTCTCTCCTTTTTTCTGCTCTTTTTTTTCTGCTCTTTTTTTTCTGCTCTTTTTTTTCTGCTCTTTTTTTTCTGCTCTTTTTTTTCCCCTCTTTTCTTCTCTCTTTTTTTCCCCTCTTTTCTTCTCTCTTTTTTTCTTTTTTCTTTTCTCTCTCTCTCCTTCTTCCCCTTCCCTCTTTTCCCCCCTCCCCTCTCTGACCTTCCCCAATACTAAAACTAGTGTACACACCAGAACAGAGAGAGACTTTCCAACGAGCGAGATCACCAAAGGCATCAATCATCCACGAACGTAAGCAGGCGCTTTTTGCCGTCCTGGACGACGGACTCCTTGGAGGACTGGTGAAAGCAGGGGGGGAAAGTATACGAACAAGTAGACAGCCCCGAAGGGCGGGCGCGGCTGCCTTCCTTTTTTTTTTTTTTTTTTTTCGCGCCGTGCTCGCTTCGTGGGAGATGGAGAGGGGAGGGGAGGGGAGGGGAGGGGAGTGGAGTAGAGTGGAGTGGAAGCTCGCATGGAATTGTAAAACAGGGCTGGATCGACGGGATCCGGGAGTCGAATTTCGAGATTCTTCTTGTCTCGGGTGGGCTGTTTTAGGGGCGAAGGCTTTGCGTACTTTTTATGGAGGATCTTGAAAGCTGAGGCCGGACGGTTGGACGGTTGGACGGGGGGTTGGTTGGTTGGTTGGTTGGTTGGTTGCGCCGGGGGGATAGACGCCGTGGCGGAGGCGGCGGGGGATGACCCGGCCAGGCAGGCAGTGAAGAGCGGGAGAGAGGGAGGAGGCGGAGTGGTGTGGCGTTGTGGATGTGTATGTGGATGTGTATTCTTGTGGGTCTGGAGGTGCCGGGACGTGGCTCGCTCTGTCGTTGCCTGCTTGAGTGGTTCTTGGATACGGGGATAGAGAGATAGATGGATAGAGAGATAGATAGATAGATAGCTTCGAGACTATTACCGCTGTCGTTTGCGCCACCGCCGCCGCCGCCGCCAAAAAAAAAAAAAAAAAAAAAAAAAAAAGAAAAGAGAAAAAAAAAAAAGAAAAGAAGAGAGAGGAAAAGAGAAGAGAAGAGAAGCGCTCACCAGCGCGGATCGTCGTCCTCTTCCCTGTAGGCCCTGTACTACTACTACTACTACTACTACTACCCGCTCCTCACCCACCCACCCACCCACCTCGCCGCCGCCGTCTGCACCAAGAGCTCCCTCCGTCCCGATCGTGCTCCATCCGGTATGGACCAAGATGAAAACCCCCTCTCATCGACCGAGCCAACTCCCCTGCGTACCACGTTATACGTATAGGTACTGTATCCACCTCGCATTATCGTCCCTGTCGATAGAGCGCTTTCGGATTGCCCGTCATGGCCTTTTAGCGCGTACCTCGTCATTTGATTCGGCGGTAATGATGTCGATGTCGATGCTGATACTGATGCTGATACTGATACTGATACTGATACTGATACCGATATGGAGACATATACAGAGACACATGTTGGTTATAGAAGGCCTGGTTAGTTGCAATGTCGAGAGCGAGAAGGGAGAACGGGATGTAGATTAATAGTTAGGTTATTCGGAGACAAGATGCTCGTCTTGTGATGTATATACCTAGATAGATAGATAGCGAACGGTATTCTTTTCAACCTTCAACCTATTTGAACATCGCGCGGGCTTGATAGAGAGAGAGAGAGAGAGAGAGAGAAAGTAGTATGCTAGCTAGGAGATGGATAAATATATATCAGTAGATGGCATGAGTCACGAGGGGTATAAGCGAGACGCGCTGATTAGGAAGGGAGAAAAGGAAAACACTTCTGGATGATAGAGCGAGAAGCAGAAGCGAGAAGCAGATCATGAAGAATATCCCCCCAGAGCATAAGCGGCACAGGTTTCTTCCTGGGCCGGATCACGGCTATCAAAATGCATACAGTAAGTAAGTGTACTTGTTCCACCACGAGGTAGCTATCGCACGACGCACACCGGAGGCAGCTACTACATAACGCAGACTGGAGGTAGCTACCACACAACGCAGACCTTCAGCGAGACTGACATGCATCCACTCCTTTCCAGCCAGCTCTTGATTTAGAGCATCATGAGGAGGACGCCGAGGCCCCCGAGTACGAGCTGCGCAGCATCCGATCCCAGCTTCTGTGCCGCATTGGTGATCTGGAGCGGGGCCGAGCTGGTCGTAGAAGTCGAGTTGTGTGAGCTGGTACTCGGGGCGGATGGAGTTGGGACAAGCGCAGAGATGTCAGTGCTGGGCACGACCGTGGCGCTGGAGGAAGGGAAGCTGCCCGAGCTGGAGGACGCGGTGCTTGCAGTCTCCCCAATCGTACTGACAGATGTAGAGGTCGAGACTATAGTGGTGATGACTTCGGCGGAGCTTGTCGTCTCGGGGACGGGGACCGGGACGCTAGTGGTCGCGGCTGGAGGCAGGATGACGCTCAGTGTGAAGGATGCTCCGCACTCGGCGAGCGTTGCTCCAACGGGGCAGCAGCCGGCGTTGGTGCAGTAGGAGTCTGCCGGACAGTAATCTGAGGGGGGTGATCAGTAAACGTCAATCGTTTGATAGTAGGTGGGGGGCAAGCTGACTTCCGTCTGAGCAGCAGCTCTCGCCAGCACTGGGGTTGTAGCAGGTGGGAAAACTGATGCACTGGATGTTTCCTGGTCCACAGGACTTCTCGCAGGTGGCTGGCGCTGGAACGGTTTGGCAGATGGTCGACTGGCGCTCGAAGACCCCTTTAATAGCCATCAGGGATGATCTTTGACCAGCTGTTCCGGCGGTGGCCGCAGAAGCAGCACCGAGGAGGAGGGTAGCTGAGAAACGCATGATGGAGAATCCGTGCGAGCGCTTGAATGATATTATTGTTGACTCGATCGAAGGGATATCGTCGGTACTTAATGTAGCTGATAGAGCCTTCGGTGTCAGATCAGGCTGTGGTGGGAAGGCTCCAGCCATTTTGTATAGCTCTGAGCCAGCGGAGTGAGCAACCGTAGAGAGCCCCCGTCTGATTCTCTTTCCACATTATTGATTCTGCTTCCCTGAAAGGTAACAATGTCTTTCACAAAGTAAGGAGAAGCCCTGGCTTTGCAAGGCTCTTCGTCCCCTCCCGTCTTGGACCCAACACCCGATTCGAAGCAGCAAACGCCAAACGTGTTCCGATGGCGAACGACAGGTCCAGATGCCCTGAAAAGCTCCTATTTCTGCCTCTGACCTATTTTAAGAACAGCTGAGCCTCCGCCTCAATATGCAACGCTTCGGACTCTCAGGGACATGATCAACTCCCGTCAGACTCTCTACGAAAATAGAACAGAAGAGAACCAAACAAAATGTCCATTGGGAGTATCGGACCAATGCTGCAGCGGCTTACTGCAATCCTGACATCGAGATCGTGAAAATGAGGAGATTGGTACCTGCAAGGCTCAAGCCACGTCTTTCAGCTGATGTCGTGCGGAAAGAAAATACAGCTTGGCGAGAAGTCAGCGTGTTGGTTGATCTCACTTCTGAGAATCCACGACTGCATTTTTGAGGGAAAGTAATTATATCTCAATAAGGGCCAAGGAGTGATTTCTTCAAGCCAGAGGAATGAGGACGAGTGCTGCAGTTCGACGGAAGAGAAAAACGGAAGAGAAAACAGTGCCTCCTTGGGGTCGTACCTGTCTTGGCCAAGAAATCAGCCATTCTGATTTTAGTTCATAGATAAGGTTGTCATTGGCGCAGAACTTGCCATCGATTTTCCTCCTCGTGCTGCGCGCACCCTCTGGAGTCACCCCCAAGCGCGCACCTGGCAACGGCATCGCGTTTAAGATGTCGCTGACTGACGCCGAGACGGAACTGCATTGTGGGACATGAAGTTGACCAGACGAGAATTCGAACCCTTCTCCCACGGAAAGAAGAAGATCTTCTCCTTCAGGTAATTGATGGGTGCGTCTTATCGCTGTCCATAACCAACCGCCTCTCTGCTACAGTAGAGAAACCGACGTCGAAGAGTATCTCGCGTGCTCGCAGCTCTGATCGCGATTCGAGATCTGATCCAAGAAACCCTCTCACCCCTTCGAAAACCGGCGGCCAAAAATTTCCCACTGCGTCGAATCTCGTAGAAAGCTACAGCCCATGAACAAAGTGATAGGGATCAAGGCACATGATCTATAGACGAGCAGCCCGCTCGGTATCCCCAAGTCAAAAAGACACTGCCGAAGTTGGCACATGCGCGCTAGTCTCCGCCGGCGGAAGAAGGGGGGGGGGGTTTTTTCCTCCTTTATATAACAAGGTGACTACTCCCCACCATCACCACCAGAGCCCGCTCTGGTGGTGTAACGGGGTCACACCCAACTTTGCTAATCTGATTAAAATCCTTTCCTTCGGGTCAAAGGGTTTTCAAGGCGCATGTCTTCCCTGGGACGCCGGGGAAGGTGTGTGACCGGAGTTTTGCTACATTTTCTTCTTCTTTTTTTCTCGAACATTCAGAAAGTCGCGCCGGCAGCCCTTTCTTTCTTTTTCTTTTTTCTTTCTTTTTTCTCCTTTTTTTTTTTTTGCTCTTTTTTTGCTCTTTATTTCGATGTCGTCGGCGGAGGCTAGCTATAAAGACCTCGCTTATTAAAGCGGGTCGGCCATGATATGTCAAAGGTTACGATGGGTAGAAGGCATGGACTATTCTCTTCTATTTCACACTACTATGTTTTTGTGGGCGAGAAGGGTACAGATAAGTAAGTAGCTAGCTGTCACGCTGCCAATGCTCCGGAGCCCGAAGTCATCGTAGCATGAAGCTTGGAAGCTCTTCGGGGAAGATTCTCAGGCTTCAATATGTGATGCGTATCAATCCAGTAACTCCGAAATAGAAAAGAAGCCTCGCTAATCTAGAACGCCTTGTCAAGTCGTCACCGTCTGCAAGTTCTCGGTGAAGCACGTAATCTCGCACCACTATCTTCAGCTGAACGCATTCCTCAACTTCATCAAAATCACCTTCCTCGTCGTCTCCCAGGCCCTCGACTTCCTCCGTTCGGCAGCGACCAGATCTGGCTTGATCAACACTCTCCTCACCCTCGCAATCTCCTCATCCGTCAGCCCGCACTGCATCTTCACATAGCCCTCTGCACCACCCCATCTCTCCCTCACCATCGCTAACATGGCAATCATACTCTCCTTCCTCGCCCCGACCATCCGCTCCGCCCGCGCTCTTCCACCTCCCCCGCTCCTCGCAAACACCGGGCTCTGCATGAGACGATCTACGACTCGGTCGCGGATAGGAGTGAGACCAATGTCGGAAAGCGCGTACTCTTCCGCGACGAGAGCGGGCGACACGCCGAGGAGGGAGAGGATGATGGCGACGAAGACGCCCGAGCGGTTGTTCCCGGTGGTGCAGTGGATGTAGCATGCATCCGGGGAGGCCGGGGCCTGAGCCGCGATGTGCAGGAGCAGGGTGCGGCAAGCTGGAGCGCCGTGGGTGAGAATCTCGGTGAAGGCTTCGACGATGCCCTATGCCAACGTCAGCCAGCCATCATCGATCTCTACCAACCCACGCCCCTCTGCTTCCGATAGAAAGAAAGCGCGATCCCGCCACAGCCTTCACCCGGCCGGGGGAAAGGGAAGAAGGGCTGCTGACGTCGGTCCCCTCACTAGCATAAAGCACGTATCTCCTCGCCGCTCTCTCAGGACTGTACTCCTCGTCCGGAAACGCCGGCGCCCACACCCTCTCGATCCCGTCTAACGGCCGAACCCCCCCGGCCTTCTCGATCTGGCCTCTGGACCGGAGATCGAAGTCCGTCCGCACGCCTATCGTCTCCCGGAGCTTCAGCAGGCCCTGATCCGTCACGGTCGCCGGGTCCGGCCCACGGAAAAGCAGCCCGGTGCGGACCGCAGATGGGATTGCGCCCTCGATCGGCCAGCCGCCTACATCGCGAAAGTTCGCCAGGCCAGGGATGGAGACGAAAAGAGGCTGGAGATCCCGCGTCAAGGCCTGTGGTGGTGGTGAAGGTGGTGAAGCCATCAAAACGTGACGTGGTACCCTACCACGCAGGCTACGTGCAGGCGGTGCACAAGCTCCCTCAGACAGACTCCCAGAAAGCGCAGTGAATCAACACCCAACAACACCCCCCTTCTTTTCTTTTTTTTTCTTCTTCTTCACACTTGGCACTTCCCTCTCGTACTCGGTGAGACCAGACCAACAACAGCCGTCGTCTCCCTCCCACCTCCTCGGATCCGGTCAGGTTCAGGTTCAGGTTCAGGTTCAGGTTCAGTTCCAGGTCAGGTCACGCGGTGAGATAAGATGACCGCATGGCATGCTGCGTCCGCCCCAGAAGCCCTTCCTGCAGTGAAATCAACAAACAATCCCGCCTCTTCCCTGCCCGTCTGCTCGCGCTCAATGACGTTGTGGCTGGCTGACTGGCGGCGAGCAATCTACATCTCCATCTCCATCTCCATCGAATCTAATCCAATCCAATCCAACCACCCCTCCCCCCGTCAGCAGATCCCCAACCTGAGTAGCCAGCCAAACCGCCCAGACCGATCACGCCAAAAACCGTCAACCTGTCCTCCGCGCGCAAGGCTCTCTCTCCCGATCGCTTACGGTCAGTACACCCTCTCTCCTCCACTGCAAGCCGACTCGAACCGCGAGCGGGCGGGCCGAGAGCCGGCGAGTGGGAGGATCGCAGCCGCGGGGTGTGGAATCTTTTTTTTTATATAACTTGCTTGCTTGCTTACCTGCTTGCTTGTACTGTGGCTGTGGCTGTGAGAGTGGCAGTAGTAGTAGTAGCAGTAGTAGCAGTAGCAGTACCGGTAGTAGTAGTAATGAATCGTTAAGCGAGTTGGGGGGTTGGTAGGTAGGTAGGTAGGTAGATAGGTACGAGCTGATATATACACATATACATACACACACACATAGCTATACGGAACTTGGGAGAGATGCGGCCAGTAGGGCTTTGGTTAGGTTAGTTGGTTGTTTGGTTAGTTAGTGACTTAGTAGTAGTAAGGACCTGCTCAGTAGTGTAGTGTAGTGCCTTCCTCGGGGAATGGGTTGATGGTATCATATCATATCAAGCAAAGCTTGGGTGGGCGCCGGACGGGACGGGACGGGACGGGGCGGGACGGGAGGAAATACTGGATGGAGGAGTCTGATTTTCAATTTTTTAAATTTTTCATTTTTCATTTTTCATTTTTCGGTTTTTTAATTTCCGCTCAAGATAAACAAATGCGTATCTTCGGCTCCGGCTTCGGCTTCGGCTTCGGCTTCGGCTTGTGCTTGGCTGTTTTATTCAGCGCGCTCTTGATTGTTGAGAACTCACAGCCTGCCACCCCCCGGGAAGCATCGAATGCGTACCTATTTATTTACATCTCCTCGGATACGCCGCGCCGCGCCGCTCGATATATATATATATACTATACACACACCCATCTCCGCGACGCCTTCCGCTCTTTTGATTTACGACCGACCGACTGACCGACCGACCTAACAGCCACTCACAACCTTCGCATCGACCACCGCCGTCGTCCCGCTCTTCACGGCCGCCACGGCCTTCTTCAGCACCTCCTCCAGGTGCGACACGTTCTCGACCTGCGCCGCAAACAGCTGACCCCCCGCAGCCGCCTGCGCAATGCCCGCGTAGTCCGGCGAGGGGCTGAAGTCAATGTGGAGCTCCGCGTTGGTGGCTTGGGATCCCAGACCGTCGGGGTGGACCAGGAGCATGGATCGTCGGGGCGCGTTCCACCCTAGGTGACAATCAGGCTAAAGAAAAAGGAAAAAAGAAGAAAGAAAAGGAAGAGGAAAAAGAAGAAAGAAAAAAATAAAAATAAAAAAAATTCCCCCGAGATGCATAAATTTTATAAATATATATATATTATTCCTGAGTGCCGTGGCTTGCTCACCTTTATTGTTCAGCACGATCGTCAAGACGGGAATGTTGTACCGCTGCGAGATCCAGTACACGCTCCCGGGCACCGAAAACAAGAACGTCCCGTCCCCGACGATAGCCACGACGAACTTCCCCTTCCCGGGCCCGCGCTCGTGCTCGGTAGCCAGCTTGATGCCCAGGGCGCCACCGCCGGACCAGCCCAGCCCGCCGCCGCCGCAGTTGATCCACGAGCCGGGGCGCGTGGCTTGGATGTTGTCTGCGACGATGAGGCTGTTGGTGACGGCCTCGATGGCGAAGATGGTGTCGCTGGGGACGAGTCTGCGGAGGGTGCGGCAGAGGTGCCCTGCGCCGAAGGTGCCGTCGGGCCGGGGCTCGGCGGCGGCGGCGATGGATGAGAGCCGTTTCTCGTGTGAGAGGGCGAGGGCGTCCCAGCGCTGCTTGAAGGCTTCGGAGGACAGGCGGGCTGAGAGGGGTGAGGCTCTCGATCCGTCCTGGTGAGAGGCAATGTAGCCCAAGAGCTGTTTCAAGGAGGTGTAGCTCTCGGCGCGGTGACGGCTGAGTGCGTTGAGATAGAAGACTGGCATTTGGCTGATAGCGGGGGTCAGAATATATGGATAGGTATGAGCGGCGAGGGAAGTCAGTGACTTACCTCTTGAGTGGATCGACATCGATGTGGTAGATTTTCGCTCCCTCTTTCGGGTGGCATTGAGTGTTGATCCAGGGGACATCTGGTGTTTTTGGTCAGCACTTAGAGAAAACACACTCAGCAGACGGATGGGCCTTGCCACAATCCATGACGAGAATAACATCTGCAGTCTTGATGGCATCATCGCTTCCATATCGGAGCCCCAGCCAAGCCCGATGGTCCGCCGGAAAACACATATCGCTCCCGCCAGTGTCCAGAACGCGCAGCCCCGGAATGCGATCCGCCAGGTGAACCAGCGCTTCGACAGATTGATGGTTGCGCCCCGTATACCCGCAAATCACAAGCGGCTCTTCCGCGTAGATCAGCGCCTCGGTAATCGTCTGCACGGCACTATCACTCAATGCAGCCGGCTCCACCGGATTCCAGAACGTCTGTTCCAGCTTGTAGGGCGTCAAATCCTCCTCCATGACCTCGCGCGCGCCTGTCAGATACACGGGTCCGGCCGGGTCCGAGCGCGCAAACTGCAGTGCCCGATTCACCATCTGCTTCACGTTCTTGCCCGTCTTGATTTCGCCCGTGTATCTGCAGTACTGTCCGACGATGAGTTTCTGGTCCGGCACGTCCTGGATCCAGTGGATGTACTCTGTGCGCGAGCCACGCATCTCGCCTTCGATCGTGAAGGGGGAGAGGCCGGCGAAGATGAGGACGGGGGCGCGTCCGCACGAGGCATTGTGGACCGCGGCTCCTAGGCCCTGGGTTCCCACGTCGACGTGGACCAGCACGCACTGCGGCTTTCCCGTGAGGCGTGCAAACCCGTCGGCCATAGATAGGGCTACCATCTACAGAGTCCGCCACCGAGAGGTAAGTGGTGTGGCCTTGCAGCAGGGGAAGCGAAACGGACCTCGTTCGGACAGGTGATGGTTCGCGGGAAGAGCCCTTTCCTTTCGTTCTGCCCTTTGACGATGGCTTCCATGATCGAAGGGTGGTCGGAGCCCAGGTTGACGAAGCAATGGGTTACCCCCGCCTACAGAAATCAACTCCATACTGTAAGTAAGGGGGTCGGGAGTAAACAAACATCCCAGAGAGCCTCGAAGAAGGCAAACGAAGCTGTATACATATTGGCAGTATTCTTAACTCGGGTCGCGGTTAAAGATGACAAGAAGGTATGTCGATATCAAATTGATGATGGAGAAAGTCAGTCGATATCGATAATAGCAAGCAGTCGGCACTCCATCCACTCATGATATAATAGCTCGTAGTGGGGCAGAGCGCAGAATGGCGGGGTCACTCTTCCCCAGTTCGGGACATTACCCGACACGTCGCTCATATCCTTCTATCGATTATAGCATTGCAAAAGTACAATGTTCAAAACACAAAGAGTACATCATAATAATACAGTACGTCACCTACAGATAGTAACTAATCAAAAGTCAAAAACCCATAAAATAAAATTAAAAATATTTATTTTATGGCTTTTGATATGGCAAAACACAAGCCACAGCCACAGCCACAGCCAGCCACAGCGGAATTCGAGCAGATTGAAAAAAGTCTTGGTGCAGATCCAGACTACCCACGGGTTAACTGGACGTCGCGTCGTACGTATGCATATACATGTTTATATACACACATCTCTTATTTGTGATAGACATCCCGAAAGCAGTCAAGTCCGATTTGGGGAAAGGAAAAGAGAAATCAATTGCCATCTATATAAGCGAGCGAAGCCAAATCGCAAATCCCTCTCTTTGTTTACTCGCTTCCCCAGCCCAAGAAACCAATCACACTCGAAGGAACGAGAGCTCGTACCGCAAAAGACCTCCTCTCCAACGCAGAGATGCGCACTTACTCCCACCGATACACCCCATCGTCATAGAGCACCCGGTGCCTCCTATTGCCCGGGCCGACCGAGAACCTCCTCTTCGGCATCTGCCTCTCCCTCAGCCGTCTTTTCATATCCTCTTCTTCCTCCTCCTCCCTCTCCAACGCCGCACTTCGCGCAACCCGTTCCCTCTCCTCCGCCCTCCTCCTCATCTCGCTCGCGCCCACAATCAGCCTGTCCCTATCCACATCCCACTCCCTGTCTCTGTCTCTGTCTCGAATCTGCAAGCCCCCCATCAAGGCCAGACTCGGATCCACAGCCACCGGCTTTAAGATGCCTTTTAGAGGCTGTGGCTGCGGCTGCGGCTGTGACGGGAGCGGCACCGCCGGTCTACGTCGAATCTCCTCGTCTTGCTCTCTGATGCGCTGTTCACGGCGGCGATCGGCCTCGAGCGCGGCGATGCGTTGCTCCCGCTCCGCGACGCGCAGGCGCTCGACCTCCTCGGCTTCGCGGCGTGCGCGCGAATCGAAGGAGGTGTGCGACGTACTTGGGCTTTCCCATTGGAAGATGCCGGAATCCCGCTTGGCATTCCTGCCGATCCGGGATATTGACGAGCGTGCGCGGCGGAGGACCGGACGCTCGCCGACCACGGCCCCGATGGAAGGCACGCGGGCGTGTCGGAGATGGGGACGCTCGTCGACGATTACGGGACGGCCACGCTCGCGCTCCTGTTGGCGGGGCAGAGCGGAGTCGAAGATGTATGCTGGGGATGCGGGCGATGACGGCGCCGTGAAGGTGCGGAAGGTTTGCGGTGGGGTGCGTGGCGTGGGCGGGGAGTCGACGATGATGATCCTCTCCTTTCGGTGGATGCGGGTCGGTCGCAGCAATGGCAGCTCACTGCGTCGCCTCGATGACGAGTCTCTCCTCTGCACGCGCGCACTTTCCTCGGACGAGTATTCGCCTGAGCGGCGGTAGGGAGAGCCCCCCGAGGAGCGGGGCGGCGTCTGCGGGAATTGGGTGCGCGATTGGTACTCGTGCTGGTGTAGGTGTTGGGGCTGGTAGAGGCGGGCTGTCATCATGTACTCGGTAGTTGGCTCTCCGAACTGGACCTTGCGGACAGGATTCTCGAAGATGGAAAACCTCTGGCAGGGCTGCCCGGAACGGCCGTACTGGCAGATGGTGGTTTGGCGAAAGGAAGTCTCCTTGCCGTCTGGGTAGCGGTCGACGAAGACGTTAGTGACGCACATTGTGACGGCAGGAGAAACGTAGGAGCCTCGTGGCTGGTGTGGTATCGTCGTAGTATGCCGCGACGACGTCGTCGTCGGTCTGGGTCCCGTTGGAATTGTTTTGTTGCGGAGAGAGACGGTGTCTACGGTGTCTCTGGGAATGGTTTCTCTGATGCGAGTGTTGTCGCTCTTCTCGAGGGGGAGTTTCAATGCGTGCTGGAAGGGACTCTGTCGGGGGATCGAAGAGTTCTTTATACCGAGACGCTTGAAGGGAGCCTTGGTGTCAGTCTCCGAAATCAGGTACGAAGAGCAGTAGTCGCACTTCTGGTTCGATCCGATGAGCTAGAGACATAGAGACGACATATATAGCGGATGCCGTGCTTTTCTTTTGGGATGCTGGCGGGGGAGTGACAGTGGGAAGTCGGAGTTGGAGTGAGTTGTTGTTGAGGAGGATATATGTGATGATATATATGTATGTGTGTATATATATATCTACACACATATATCTGTGTTGTCGTCGTCGTTCCTGTCTTGGAATCAGTCACTCGGCCACGGAACTAGGCAGACAGTCACTTGTGTCCCAGAGGGGTCTGGTGTCGATGACCCCGTGGCGTCCTCCACTCCCCTCGCTTTCATCCTTCACCCTTCACCCTCAACCCTCACAGCCCCGGGGCTCAAGCGGAATGGGCTGCATCGAAAGTATGCGCAGTGTGCCGTGTGCAGTGTGCAGTGTGCAGTGCACGCACAGTAATTCCTCAATTGTGGACGAGAATAGTCGGACGGGATGGATTGGATGTGGTGTAGGTAAAATACATGCCGGATTATCTGCTGGCGAAGAAGAGATGTCACTCAGAGAAAGGAAGACGGGCACCGACAGATACCTCGACCTCCGTATGTCATCAACTGGCCACTCGACCCGGAGTCCGGATCGACGTGTGCCACCACCATCATCACCTCCATCACCACCATATATAATGCCCCTCGACAAGAACCATGTGACGACCATGTGACGACCATGTGACCTTGACCACAGCCCCCCCCCAACCCCAACCCGCGGGTCGGCGCGAGCTGATGGTGTTCACATCTTCCGTCTTACATCTCACATCACCCACCACCCACCACCCACCACCCATCTCTTCCCATATATCCAAGTTGCGCCTACAAGCGCTGCATGCGCTCAACCCAGATTAGTGAGGCAAAAAGTCGCGATCGGTATAGCCTCGAGACATATATATCCATCTATATATATACACCTACCTATGCCTTCCCCCGTCAGTCGTCCGTCACCAATCGAATTCTTTCCGATGCTGACTTTCGCGACAGTACGCCCGTTGGTGTGTGGTATATATAGATGCCCGTTTTCGGTTTTTGGCCCGTCCTATATATCCCATCCCACCGCAGCCCTTGACAGCCTCCGGGGGCGTTGGAAGCTTAGAAGCCTGTGCCGCGGGGGGGTGGCTCGCTCCCCTGATGATCCAGGCTGTGTCCGTCCCGATGCAAATCTCACAGAAAACTGTGAGTGTGCAGTACCGGTAGTGCCCGCGCGATGCGATCTTAATGTCTCACCCTCTCTCTGCCTGGGGCAAAACCACACAAGTCCACGAGGAGCCAGAAGTCAACCGTCACCACTTGGATCTGATGATACACATATGCAGCGACCGAGACATGCAGGTACCAGTCATCTCGACACGACCCAAGTATACATTCAACTATGTACTTACCGATCATCATCCTCGATACAGAAACCCAGTCGCGTGTCTCCCTCCCTCCCTCCCCCTCCTCTCCTGTTACCCGCTCTCTCCTCGGTAGTTGATTCATAGCAGACTGCAGCAACCCGCCGTCATGGTCCCGAGTCTGTCTGCCTTGAAGTCCGCTCGGTAAATAGTAGTCAATACTGCTAACTGATATTGTAATACGTATATATATGTATATATATATATACACATATCTATATATACTAAGTATCAGCCAGACATACCTCGGGGAGGTAGTGCGAGCTAGCTATGTATGACTCAATCGGCACACCACCGTACTCCTGGAATTCCGATAATGAATCAACCCGGATTCCCAGTACAATATATCCCCACCTGACCATGCAAAAATCCCAGAACCCTGAGGAGCCGACCCAAGCCAGTCATTTCGGGTGATAATTTAAGCAATATAAGAAAGGGAATCCTGGTCCAGCTGGAGAGGCGCAATTGCTTTGCTTTGCTTAGCTTTGCTGGTCAATCTGCCTTGCGAGGCGTTTCTTGCGGGTTCGAGGTCCGAGGTGTGGGATTTGGGTTACACTAAATAGATACAGGAAGGCAGACAGGTAGGTATATACCTGATAAGGGGGCTTTTTTTTCGTCCGATAGTTAGGAAAGATGGGGGTAGTTCTTCTGCATTGTTGTTTTTCTGTTGCCTCTTCGTTACGATTCGAAATAATGAATATATGCACTGTAAAGAAAGCGCCGTAAAATTGGCAGCGTTGATATGAGTAAGTGCAATATTTGAAATCGCTTCTAAACAATTCAAATGATCTCGGTATAACATTAATAGACTGATATATTAGAATTCGAACCGACCCCTTGAGTTATACAAGCGAGCGACGCCCGATATTCAGGCTTGGTTGGTCAACACACAGCTTTGAAAAGGTTGAAATGATTCGAAAAGAAACACAAATTGAGTCCAGCAACTGAAGGGCGCGCTTCTGAACTCTTATTCTAGGCACTTGAGACCAGATATTGAGGCTCTTCAGAGAATAAACAGCACGTGCTTGTCCCCCTCGATCGAGTTGAGTCCCTAGCGCTTCCGGCATACACGTTAGCGCAAGCAAACATATACCTAGGTATACCCTTTCCTCTTCTCAAACTTCCAACTTCAACTCACTTTCATCTCTTTCCCACGTATAGCATCCAATACTGCGTCCGCTCAACAACAGCTCTCCAATCTCATCCTCGCCCACGGGTTAGGTTTTCGGCTTTTCTCCCTGAGGCCGCTCGTTAGTCTGACGCTCATTATCGTCCGCATCTGCCGGTTCGCAGTCATCGGCAGCGTCCGTCGCAAGTATGCCATCTCGCCAGCAGACGCTCGTGGCGGCTGTGAAAACAAGATTGCTCCCGTCTATCATAACTCGATGATATTTGGAGGCCACTATCCAAGTGATGCAGATGCAGGGACTTGGTTCTCTGGACAGCTAGACAGACTATGAGATGGTGTCTATGCCTGTGGATCTGATAGTGGTGGCAACAGCCGCGACGCCGTACCGGGAGGAACCCGACTTGTGGTTTGGTTATCGCGAGATCCACTCATCTGGCCAGTCCTCGGGGCTTTCCAAGTGGCGCCGCTTCCACTGGTTACCAAATTCCTGGTCCTGGTCACCAGCAGCATTGACGAAGGTGCCGCGGTGAGAATCGCTTAGCTTTGCTTTTTTATACTTCATTTTTCTCTCCTTTCCTTCTTCTTTCTTCTCCTTTTCCAACCTTTCTTTTTCTTTCCTTTCTTGCGAAGACCTCGGCCTTACTCCGTAGAGATATAATCATTCTGTTCAGTTCAGCGATGTGGATCATCGATTTCACTACTCTCCTTTCTTCCCTTATTGGCCTCCGAGCCGACGGATTCTAGAGCTCATATGCAAGGGATGGAATTAGTCAAGAGCAATGTCTCACTTTCTTGTTATCAGGTCAATGATAGCAAACGCGGAAAATTCCCTTGCTTCAGCGCAACAAAAAGCGAGGCCGATGTCTGCATTCCGTACCTCATCCAGTGTATACAAAACTCTTCCGCTTCACTCGTGCTCACAGCAGAATTAGACTGCTGCTACGACCCTGACGTTTCCCCAGGAGCCCAGCATTTCTATTGAAAACGTCACGATGGTTACCCTCGCTACCTGGGCTCGGAGTAAAGTCACGCATCTCCCTCGAGCCTCGCGGATGGTCCTCGGAACGGTCTGCGGAGCATTTATCTTCATCTGCTTATACACCACTCGCGAGATGAGAGAGATCTCGCTGGAGCTGACGGAGCAACACATTATCGAGGAGCAAAGCGGCGTCTACAGGGTCCTGAAGGGGGCGATACCGAGCGTGAATCTGGTAGTGGCAGCTACATCGAAGGAAGATTACGGCTGGACGAAAGAGCTGAGAATCCCCAGCATGACCGTCGTGCCGTACATCGCGGATGACCTGAACGCGACGCACCACGCGCAGCAGAACAAGGGCCACGAGGCGATGATGTACCACCAGTACTTCTACGACTTCTACGACAACCTACCCGACATCTCCATCCTGATCCACTCCCAGCAGCGATCATGGCACGTCGACGGAATGCTGGATCAAAGGTTTGCGGCCTTGTCTCGCTTCGCTTCTTCCCGATCGAGAGACAGAAAGAACAACACTGACAGCGTCCCAGCATGGTATTCTCCCTCAACCACCTCGACCTCCGCGAGGTCCAGCGCCGCCACTTTCTGAACCTGCGCGTGACCTGGGGCATCGGCTGCTCGAACGGGCAGATCAACACGACGCGCGTGAACGAGGAATCCGGCGCCGCCCCGGAGCAGAAGGAGATGCAGGAGGCCTTCCGCGCGAACTTCAACATCTACGACGTCCCCGAGATCCTGGCTACGCCGTGCTGCTCGCAGATCGCCGTCACCAAGGCGGCCATCCGGCGGGTGCCGCGCGAGCAGTACCTGAAGCACATCGAGTGGCTGCTGGCGACGCAGCTGAAGGACAGCATCTCGGGCCGCACGTGGGAGCACATGTGGCAGTACCTGTTCCTGGGGAAGGCCATCGACTGCCCGCTCGAGCACCGCGCGTACTGCCGGCTGTACCACATCTGTTTTGGGGGCCGGGAGGAGTACGACGAGTGGGTCGAGCTGAACCAGGGACGCGAGAAGCTGGAGAATGAGCTGGATAAGCTGAAGAAGGAGATGGAAAAGCTGAAGAAGGACGAGAAAGACAAGGCGGAGCCGGAGAAGGACAAGGATGGGAAGCCGGAGAAGGACGAGAAAGACAAGGCGGAGCCGGAGAAGACTGACGAGGAGCAGAAGAAGCTGTCGGCTACGCAGGAGAAGACCAACAAGAAGGCGCAGGAGTGGTTGGAGACTGAGCTGAAGAGTGTACGGGAGGCGATCAGGGTCCGGAGGGAGGTGGCGGTTGTGAGAGGCGCTGTTGAGGCGAACAGGATTGCGGAGGCGGAGCCGCTCTATGGCGACGAGGATGAGCTGGGGGTCGAGGCGAAGATCTTCCCGCAGAAGGTCAAAGCGCAGGCTACGACTACCCGCTCTCCTTGACCTGCATTTTTTTTTTTTTTCTCTTGAGACTGATTCGTAGCGAGTGTACTGATGCTTAAGATGGGTGATGTGTGTATAAATAGGCGGGCCAGTGGGAAAATTAGACGGCGTATAATTTAATCTTGAATGGTGATGGGCGCAGGCCGTCTGAATTGCGTGCTGGAAAAACGCGCTAATGTAGAAGTTCGCCGACGGGCTATACTATACATGGCACGTAAACAGCATGTACTTCTCCAGGTCCCTACTCGTTGTACATGATGCTGCCTTGGCCATTCCTGTGGATCTTCCCTTGCCGCTGCCCAACAGTCCGAACCCCGTCGCCAATATCGTCGTGCTTCGAAATGCCCTCCACCCAACGACCGTCGCAGCGCAGAAACCCACGCCTGGAACCATCGCAAGCCTCATCCACATCAAGTCCAACCGACCACCACACCCATCAGCCAGCCCACCGCTCGAACACACACAGATACAGCCGCCGTCCGCCTTGCTGCTGCTGGTCACCAGTCCGGCCAACCCGCCGCACGCCCAGGTCCCGAAGCAAAGTAGCCCCATCCTCTCCGCGTCTCCGTCCTCCGCGCAACCTTCACGATCCCCACCCCAAAGCCATCAGTAACCTCTGTACCGGGCCTCGTTCCGATAGATCGATCGATCTCCCACGCCGAGACGCCTGCGACACCGACGACGCCGTCTCCTACTCCGGCGACGTCCGACGTTTCCGATTCCCAGCGGCTGGCTCCACCTCCGTCTCCGCAAAGGCTCCTCCTGTCTCATCTGCTCTCATGCGGCTTCGCAAAAGTGTCTCCCAACAGGGCGGGAGGGGGGGG